TGCAATACTGGGAATCATGACCCAGTCAAGCTGACAGATATTTTTTGGGGACACAATTCAATCCATGACAGTAGGTCTCTTTTGTTTCTTGCAGTAGTGTTTTGTAGTTTTCTTTGTATAGGTCTTTTACATGCCTGATTATATTTATGCCTAAGTATTTTATTTTTTTAGGGGCTATTATAAATGGTATTGTTTTCCTGAATATCTTTTCATAGTTCTATTTATTGGTGTATAGGAATCTAAGTGGTTTTTTTATGATTATTTTGTATCTTGCCACTGTGTTGAATCTTTCTATTAGTTCCACTAGTTTTCTTGTGGAGTCTTTTGGGTTTTCTATGTATCATATCATATCATCCACAAATAGGGACAGTTTTAGCTCTTGCTTACCAATTTGGATGCCCTTTATTTCTTTTTCTTGCATTATTCCTCTAGCTAGGACTTCCAGCAGCACAATGTTAAATAGGAGTAGTGATTAACGGCATACTTGTTCCTCTCCTCAGGGGGAATGTTTTCAGCCTCTCTCCATTAAGTATGATGTTGTCTTTTGGTTTTGTACAGATGCCCTTATTATGTTGAGGAATTTCCCTTCTAGATTTTCTTGAGATTTTTTTTTTTTATCAGGAATGGGTGTTGGACTTTGTCAAATGTGTCAGTTGAGATGATTGTGTGATTCTTTTATTTTATTTATGTGGTGGATTATGTTGACTGATTTTCTAATGTTGAACATCCTCGCATACCTGGTATAAATCATACTTGGTTGTGGTGTACTACTATTTTTTGATATGACACTGAATTCTATTGGTTAGAATTTTGTTGAGAATTTTTGCACTTATGTTCATGAGAAATATTGGTCTGTAATTTTCTTTTTTTCTGTGGTGTCTTTGCTGGTTTTTGGTATCAGGGTTATGCTGGCTTCATAGAATGAATTTGGAAGTATCTCCTCCTTTTTGATGTTCTGCAATAGTTTGAGTAGTACTGCTGCAAACTCTTCTCTGAATGTTTGATAGAATTCTCCAGTGAAGTCATCTGGGCCAAGGCTTTCTTTTTGTTGTTGGGGTTTTGTTGTTTTTTTTAAATTAACTTTTCAATCTCTTCTCTTGTTATGGGTGTATTCAGATTTTCAACTTCAGTTTGCATTAGTTTGTGTAGATAGTGTGTTTCTAGAAATGTGTCCTTCCTCTAGGTTTTCAAATTTGTTGGAGTATAGTTTTTCATAGTACTCTGTTATGATCGGAGTCCTGGTGGGGTAGTGGTTAAAAGCTGTGGCTGCTAACCAAAAGGTTGGCAATTCGAATCCACTAGCCACTCCTTGGAAACTCTATGGGGCGGTTCTACTT